ACATAGATGGCTACACCTGTATTAAGTATCCAATGAGCCAATTACGAGTACTACCTGTCTCGCCCGTTCACCCTTTTCATCGATTTACGAATATATTTAACGTTATCCTAATTTGCTGTTAAAAATAACACCATCTATATTTATAGCACTAGTAAAAATACGTTTTTTCCCGCCAATTCAAGGAAAGGTGAAATCAGGACTAGCAGAGCCATCTATGGACAGAGATATTTCACAAAAATATAAAAAATGAGTAGTGCATTTCCCCCGTTTTTTGTTCATTTTCCCCGGCGGCAATGGGTTAAGGGAACATTCGCCACTACTTCGGGATATTCATGAATACCCCCCCCTTTACCAGAGTCTAAAAGCTTCTAAATGCCAGTCGATTCAATGTCTCGGGAATGGCCTCGTAACTCACCTCATCGGAAAACCATGAAAAACGCCCGGAACGTCACAGAGATCACGTTGCACGAGACCACGCCTCGCAACATCAACGATCCGCTGGAGACACCAAGGAAGCTAGCAGTTCGCACTCATGTCTCCCCTTCCGTCAGTCTTGGGGAATGCACGCTGAAACGGCCACAGACGGCATTATAATAGAAAGGGAACCTGATGAAATACTGTTGGAATAATGAGAGATGGTTATTAGTCTAAGGATACTGTTGGAATAATGAATGATGGTTATCAGTCTAAGGATACTGTTGGAATAATGAAAGATGGTTATCAGTCTAAGGATACTGATATCTCATGTATCAATGATATACCTCACATTAACTGAATTAAGGTGTAATTATATTCTGTTAAGTTACCCATACAGGAGTATGTTATTTTTTCTTTCTAACGGCAGCCTTTATACCCAAAATGTAAACAACCCTCAGTTGTAATACCCAATTCCTCCTCAATACATAGAGTTAAGCGCATCAACTTTGTGTTTTACTGTTCCCCACAATGAGTCACATATGCATTGACAAGGCAAACTAGCTTTATACATGCAGGGAAGATGAATTCTTCTACCATATCAACAAATACCAACTGCGGCAAAAAGCAAACATCATTAATTAGTCAAGTAAACAAAATGCAATTTACAATTTATTCTCCTTCACCGTTGGCAATATAAACTTTTTTTTTTTTTTTGTGGCCACTGAATATATATATGTATATCAATATATGTATGTATACATATATTCAAATATATATAAACATAAGTGTGTAATAATAATACTAATACAATTTTGTGTGTGTGTGTGTGTTTAAACATAAACATACATAAATGTACATGTCAATATACATAGATATATATATATTTATATATATACATATAAAAATACACATACATATATATATATATATATACATATATATATATATATATATATATATATATATATATATATATATATATAAATACATATATATACTTATATATATACACATACATATACTTATATATATAAATATATGTATATATATATATACATAAATATATATATATATCCATAAACATACACACACACACACACAGATTATGCATTTACATATATTCTTGCACGAAAAGAACAATACACAATATTTAACAAAACCTAACAAAACAGTGTGCTGTGTGGTGCAGCGGTAGCGATCTCGTCAAGCAATCTTGCTGACCTGCGTTCGAATCCCTCGCCGCCAGTGGATGGTAACCCCGGCCATTCCTTGCACACGGGATAATTTAGAAGCAAAATAAAACAGACAGCAAGAATATCCATTGTAACAAATGGAATCAAACTAAATTATTATAATTATTATTAAAAAAAAGTAGATATTAATTTATACATTCATAGTAACATGGAGTATACAGATATATATTGAAATACAGTGTTTATGACCAGTAAATATAGACAAACATGACCATAACTGTATAAAATGTTATATCATATGTTATATTTTATATAATATAACATAAACATGTTATATTTTATATTATATATGTGAAATATAGTGTTTATGTTTTTATTCACACACATAGCCAAACAATGGATATAACTGTGTATTTCCAGTAATAGCACATTCACATGATATATGTAATATATGTAAATCATTATATATATATGTGTGTGTGTGTGTGTGTGTGTGTATACATGTTTATAGATATATATATATGTATGTATGTATATACATGTGTATATAGATATGTATATCAATATAAATAAGCATCTATGTGTATATATAAGTATATTGATGTATTTATATATATATATATATATGAATATAGGTATATATGTGTATATAGATATATATATGTACACTCTAACAGACTTTGTGAAATACACATGACATTACTTATACACATATTTATCAATATAGAGTATATAGATATATATTGGGATACAGTGACTATGTTCATTTGCATATGTAATTCACACATATGTAGACAAACGATGTACACATAACTGTATATTTTGAGCAAATATAACCAAAAATTTCCATGATTGTATAAAATAATATATTTTTGTTATAATGTATGTTATATTTTGTATAATATAACATAAATATGTTATATTTTATGATATATATGTGAAATATAGTGTTCATATTCATATTCACATACATAACTGTATATTTCGTATTATTCGTATTAACTGTATATTTTTTATTATTTATAACCTGTAAGTGGATATAAATATTACTTATTTATCTATTCATATGCATAGATAATCCACATACATAATCAAACAATGTACACATAACTATATATTTTGAGTAAAAGCACATTCACATAAATACTATTCCTGTAGATTAAGCCACAGCCACGTGCCTAGCAAAACGCAAATCCTAAATCCTCCATGCATTCTTCCGTGACTTTAAATGACGAAAAAGGGACTTCGTTTCGCACTCTCGACGGCTTACCTTCCAGCGGCTGGTTGACTGGACGCCTTCTCTTGCGCGGAAAGGCAGGCAACTCACTCTGGGGAACGTCACTTGGTTTCCTTCAGTACGCGCTTGACGCAGTTTTCTCTGTTCCTGTAAGTAGGATAAGGAGTTATGATTTTATTCTTGCTGATTGTCATTCTAATACTGATTATCAGGAAACATATATGTTGTGAAATATAATAATAAATAAATAGTTTCCTTCAGTACGTCCTCGATGCAGTTTTTTCCTGTAAATAGGAAGATAAATGTTAAGATTCTATTCTTGCTGACCGTCATTCTGATGATGATCAGAAAACATATACGTTGTAAAATATAATAATTAAATAAATGGTTTCTTTCTGTAAGTGTTTGATGCAGTTTTTTCCTGCAGTTTTTTCCTGATGAAAGCTATGATTTTAGTCTTGCAGATCGTCATTCTAATAATGATTATAACAAATGATAGACATTGTAAAATATAATAATAACTATAGAAATAGTTTTTTTTTTGTATGTGTTTGATACAGTTTTTTCCTGTATTTTTTTTCCTGCAGTTTTTTCCTGATGAAAAATGTGATTTTAGTATATATATATATATATATATATATATATATATATATATATATATATATATAATAATATATATTGTATATATAATATATATATATATAATATATATATATATAATATATATATATATAATATATATATATATATATAATATATATATATAATATATAATAATATAAATATAATGTATATACAATATATATAATAATATATAATGTATAATATATATATATATATATATATATATATATATATATGCACATAATGATTATCAGAAAACATATACATATACTGTAAACATATACATATATTATATATTGTCAACATATACATATACATAAACATATACATATCTTGTAAAATATAATAATAATTGAATAAACAGTTTCTTTCAGTATGTGTTTGATGCAGTTTTTTCCTAAAACATATACATTGTAAAATTTAATAATAATTAAATAGTTTCTTTCAGTATGTGTGATTCATGCAGTTTTTTCCTGTAAATAGGATAATGAATTATGATATTAAAAAAAAAAAAAAAAAAAAAAAAAAAAAAAAAAAAAAAAAAAAAATTAATGAATGTTAATAATAACATTGGACGTATTTTTCCCTAGTGCTATGAAAATCGATGGTGTTATAAGTTCATTAAATAAATAAAATGAATAGATTACTAAAAATAAAAAAAAAAAAAACAAAATTACATCATAAAGGATAATGCCAAATGAAATATTATGTGATATTTACTGAACAAAATGATATACATTGTAAAAAATAATAAATAAATAGTTACTCTTATGTTATCAATTATAAATTTGTTGAAACTGTAATTTAAATCTTTAAAAAGTAAAGGTTTTGATTTTAATATGGCAATAAAGTATCATTAGCAAATACATCCATTATGTATATATATATATATATTTTTCTTTTTCTGTCATCTATTGGTTCCTCAGTTTTACAATGTACAATACTATAGCCTGGAAAAAAATGTATGTACATGTATGTATGAATGTACAATCTACATGTATGTACATGTATGTATGAATATAAAATGTATGTACATGTATGTATGAATGTAAAATGTACATGTATGTACATGTATGTATGAATGTAAAATGTACATGTATGTACATGTATGTATGAATGTAAAATGTACATGTATGTACATGTATGTATGAATGTACAATCTACATGTATGTACATGTATGTATGAATGTAAAATGTACTGGAAAAATGCCTGGAAAAAAAAAAATAATAAAATAAATAAAAAAAACTCTCAACCCCTGATGAAAATGCCACTTCAGACAGTAGTTACGTCACTCTACAAACGCGCCTGAATGCGGCCATCATGTCATGTCATTGACGTTCCATGTCACGTCATAGAAGTTCCATGTCATATAGCCTGTCATGTCATAGAAGTTCCATCTCATATCACAGAAGTTCCATGTCATGTCACAGAAGTTCCATGTCATAGAAATTCCATATCATGTCAGCATGTCATGTCTTTGACGTTCCATGTCATGTCACAGAAGTTCCATGTCATGTCACAGAAGTTCCATGTCATATCATGTCACAGAAATTCCATATCATGTCAGCATGCCATGTCATAGAAGTTCCATGTCATGTCATAGCATGTCATGCCATAGAAGTTCCATGTCATGTCTTTGACGTTCCATGTCATGTCACAGAAGTTCCATGTCATATCATGTCATAGAAATTCCATATCATGTCAGATGTCATGTCTTTGGACGTTCCATGTCATGTCAAAACATGTCATAGAAGTTCCATGTCATGTCACAGAAGTTCCATGTCATGTCACAGAAGTTCCATGTCATAGAAATTCCATATCATGTCAGCATGCCATGTCATAGAAGTTCCATGTCATGTCATAGAAGTTCCATGTCATGTCACAGAAGTTCCATGTCATGTCACAGAAGTTCCATGTCATATCATGTCATAGAAATTCCATATCATGTCAGCATGCCATGTCATAGAAGTTCCATGTCATATAGCCTGTCATGTCATAGAAGTTCCATGTCATAGAAATTCCATATCATGTCAGCATGCCATGTCATAGAAGTTCCATGTCATGTCATAGAAGTTCCATGTCATGTCATAGAAGTTCCATGTCATATAGCCTGTCATGTCATAGAAGTTCCATGTCATAGAAATTCCATATCATGTCAGCATGCCATGTCATAGAAGTTCCATGTCATATAGCCTGTCATGTCATAGAAGTTCCATGTCATATAGCCTGTCATGTCATAGAAGTTCCATGTCATATCATGTCATAGAAATTCCATATCATGTCAGCATGCCATGTCATAGAAGTTCCATGTCATATAGCCTGTCATGTCATAGAAGTTCCATGTCATATCATGTCATAGAAATTCCATATCATGTCAGCATGCCATGTCATAGAAGTTCCATGTCATGTCATAGAAGTTCCATGTCATGTCTTTGACGTTCCATGTCATGTCATACATGACATAGAAGTTCCATGTCATGTCATAGAAGTTCCATGTCATATAGCCTGTCATGTCATAGAAGTTCCATGTCATAGAAATTCCATATCATGTCAGCATGCCATGTCATAGAAGTTCCATGTCATATCATGTCATAGAAATTCCATATCATGTCAGCATGCCATGTCATAGAAGTTCCATGTCATGTCTTTGACGTTCCATGTCATGTCATAGAAGTTCCATGTCATATCATGTCATAGAAATTCCATATCATGTCAGCATGCCATGTCATAGAAGTTCCATGTCATAGAAATTCCATATCATGTCAGCATGCCATGTCATAGAAGTTCCATGTCATAGAAATTCCATATCATGTCAGCATGCCATGTCATAGAAGTTCCATGTCATGTCACAGAAGTTCCATGTCATAGAAATTCCATATCATGTCAGCATGCCATGTCATAGAAGTTCCATGTCATATCATGTCATAGAAATTCCATATCATGTCAGCATGCCATGTCATAGAAGTTCCATGTCATGTCTTTGACGTTCCATGTCATGTCTTTGACGTTCCATGTCATGTCACAGAAGTTCCATGTCATAGAAATTCCATATCATGTCAGCATGCCATGTCATAGACGTTCCATGTCATGTCACAGAAGTTCCATGTCATATCATGTCATAGAAATTCCATATCATGTCAGCATGTCATGTCTTTGACGTTCCATGTCATGTCACAGAAGTTCCATGTCATATCATGTCATAGAAATTCCATATCATGTCAGCATGCCATGTCATAGAAGTTCCAAGTCATGTCATACATGACATAGAAGTTCCATATCATATAGAAGTCCCATGTCACGTCATAGCATGACACACACAGGAAAAGGAGTCAGGAGAGAGAGAGATGTTGCAACCCTGGCCACTGGCTACTGCTCACCAGGTTCCTTTTGCAACCAAGGGAACAATGATGCAACATTTATATATGTTAATATATGGTAATATACATATGATAATATATATATGTTCATATACATATGTTAATATATGGTAATATACATATGATAATATATAAATGTTAACATACATATGTTAATATATGGTAATATACATATGATAATATATATATGTTCATATACATATGTTAATATATATATGTTAATATACAGTAATACATGGTAATATATGGTAATATAAGTTAATATATGTTTTAGGGATGCAACATGCTGGAAAAGTATTTTAAAAAATGGGTTTTAAATGAATGTATATATATAGCAGTTTTCCAAATAATTTTTTTTTATGCTTATGAAAGAAAAAAAGAAAATTAAATCAAAAGAATTTAATTTATATAAATTCAAAAACCCTGATTAAGATTAAAATCCATATATCTTTTTTTTTTTCTTTTTCAAAATCAAAACCATAATCAACCCTAAAAGTATAAATATATGTATATGTATGTGTATATATCCCAATGGTGCCGGGGAAAATGAACAAAAAATGGGGAAAATATTGTGCCCACTTTCTATGTTTTATGTGAAATGTCTGCCGATAGATAGCTCTGCTAGCGCCTGATTTAAATGGCGGGAAAAACGTATTTTTCCCTAGTGCTATGAAAATCGATGGTGTTATTTTTATCATAAACATTTTAATTTTCATAATTTTTTTTTTTTAACATTAGTAACAGCAAAATAAGATTACGTAAAATATTTTGTAAATCAAAGAAACGGGTAAACGGGCGAGACGGGCAGTGCTCGTAACTGGCTCATTGATAATTTAGTACAAGTGTTGCCATCTATGCGTAAAAACAATCAAACAAGTACTCACGGTGGGCATAGCACGTACGTACACGTCATACCCGGCACCAAGGGGATATGTATATAGATATGCACACGTATATTTACACATATACATGTATCTCTTCATATACAAGTATATGACTGTGTATATATATATATATATATATGTATAAATATATATGTGTGCATAAATATATGTAATATATAAAGTAATATACATAGAATATATAATTTATATACATTTTTTTTCATATTTTTATTTCAATATATATTATTTCATGTGCACAAG